CTCTATAGAATACTCCTGTAATATTAAATAAATATTTATGATATTTTCGAAATATTATAACATTATTTTAATTTTTTTTAATAATATTCATATAACATTCTAGGAACATTTTGCGCTTATAGGGTATGCATTGCAGACTTTTTGTTCTTGTTTGGAACGAAATCAGAGTTTTAGGATTCTCGGATGTAAATAAAATGTAAAGGAGCAGCGAAATACGTAAATAAATACAATGAATATATGACGAACTTATCGTGTTAAAATTAAAACAATAATATAGTTACATTTCATATACATTTTTTTCATTCGAGCATTGTAAATTCTTTTCTTGGCTTAGCGTTTAGGATCACGATAAAAGACATTTACAAGAACATAAAAACTTTATTGTGGTCCATAATATCAGGTATAGTAGTTACACTTACGGAGAATCGAATATCTAGATGTTTAATGCTAGTAAGATGAAAGATCACGAGAATATACGACGCATAATTCTAGTAAACAAATTGTCCGCCAATATGCCAGCAAATTGGTAACAAATTCGATGAAAAATTGCTAGCAAATTGGTATCGATTGTATCCGCACTAAGCTCGTGTTTCGCCACCTGAGCCTGCTAACATAATGTGATAACAAATTGGCGGTAGAAATCGAGTAGAATCTATCGCGAACGCGGATTCTACTCTATTTCTGTGACGAATTGTGTAAATGTGAAAATTTACTTGATTTTTGTGCCATCAATCTGCCATCATATTTCATTGATAAATTTTGCTAATATATTTCTGCCAGCATTTTCTCAAAAACACTATATATACCACATCCTGTATCAAAGTAATTATAGCTTTTTTGTCGAAAATTTATAGTAGACACTTTGTAGAATTCGTTTTCGACAGACTTGGCTGTCCGGAATCTTTTTTTCTCGCTTCTGACCGAATGCTTTCGATGGCATAACTCGTTCCGATCGAGATGATAAATCATGCGAATTTAGCTTGCGATGACAATCATTTTCATGACGATTCACAACAGAAAAGTACAGAAAACATCGACGATACTGGACGGACTATGCACACTCCCGCATTACAAGGTTGACAGACGAGATACCTAGCGATTTAAAATTGTAACGTAATTTTAAAAAATACTACATTAATTTGTTTACTCGCTAAAATGCTACAATTATTTACACGATAAACAAGAGTACATGGATATGTTACGCAGATATCGCCGCAAATGAATTGATTTGAAGCACATTGCTATTATTGAATATTCTTCAATTTAAGGAATTAGGCTTAAGTTTCCAGCCGGGAGAGTTAAGAAGATGACCTAATCGTCCATTTGTTTAATTCAGTCACTCCCTTTCCACATAATCTCTTGTAGAGACAACGCAAGAGAATTAAGAGTTCGATATACTTTTTTACACGAATACTGCACTACTTTATTGGTAATAACTAGGGTAACCAAAATATGTACAGGGCATCTTTTTTTTTATTTAACTAATAAAGAAATAAACTAAATACAAATTTATTTCATAAGAAATTATGCATTTTAAGCCCTATTTGTTACAGCATATTTTTGCATATTTCACACATAAGAGCATATTTTTGTATATTTTGCCCACACATGCACAATATTTACATATTTTATCTATTTTATCTATTTTTATTGTATATTTCATATCATTTTCTAATTTAAGTTTATGATTACGTTATTATAAGTAAAAAACTTAATTAATATATTTTGAAAATTTGTGCGATAAAAAGTAATTTTCAAATGCATATTCCTTTCTTTAGAGCATTTTTTTCACAGAGCATATTTTAGGCGTTTAAAAAGGGATTTTTACAGCATAATTTTGGTTGCCCTAGTAATAACAATATAATTCTCCTTTGCTTAACTACTAAAGAAGGCGGAGGCCCGTATTTACATGACTTATTTGGAGCCGCAATTAAATCCGTTTCTGAATATTATTTATTCAGCAAGAAAAATTGCATCTATTGTGAGATTAAACGGGGGTTAAAATCGTATATCTGATTCTTTGACATTGAGAGAAATGCAAGACCGAGGTCTGAGATATTTAAAAGTGCATCGGACAATATTATGCAAAATATTACTTTCTTTAACGAGGAAATGTATATATGTATAAGTATCGTATTAAAAAATAAATACGGTAAGAACACAAAAATATTTCGGAGTAGTAATAGGCGCGTGTAATTGCTCGGGCTCGGGAACAAAACATCGTCCTAATCTCGAGGGAGTTCAAGCGCTTGGAGGCTGTGAGCAAATCGCGTCGATGTCGACGTCGATTATGGTTATAACGAAGTCTTCTCTCCATCTATATATTACAAGTAGAAATTACAGCTTAAAGAGAGAGGGGCAACGAATCATTAAGTCAATCGCTGGAGTCACCCGACCCGAAAATGCCGATTTCGTGCAACCGATGTATCAGTCTATATCACAGAAACGGAACTTTCCATTTCACTTGCAGTCTTTTTCTCCTCGCCGTCGTTGCCATCGTCGTGATCGTCGCCGTCGCGGCGATTGCCGCCAACCTGTTCATCAGGGACTAGAGGCGCGTCCTTCGATAAGATCAAGGAGTCCTCGCCGATAGGTGCAGCGGCTTCGACTAGATTTTCAACGGACACCGCCGTCGTCGGTGCCTCGTGGCAGAAGCTCCTACGTAAGGAATGCTGCGTCCTCGCGGTGCCCCTGCGTATACTGCTACGAAGCAGATTCGCCACGTCAGCGGCCGTCAAGTTCGAACCGGACAGGGTGTTCGTCGCAGCGTTCGTACACGACCGGCGACCGCGGTCGATCGTCGAATGAGTACGTTCGATTGTGCGCGATCTGTTCGCGATGCCGATCTTGCTGGAGCGATCGATGGTGTTCGGTCGATGACGACGCTCGACCGCCGACACGTCCACGCCGTGCCGATTATCGCCAGTATTCGTCACGTCCGGCCGCGGCTCCGACAACACGTGGATTGCGACGTGATCGTGCGACATCGGCGCGATGCTCTGATTCATCTCCACCAGGACGGTCGCATAATCAGGAGGCGGTGGCTGCAACGCCGGCCTCTGTCGCGGCGCGCTGCTCTCCCCCAACACATTCGCGATCCTCCGCACGCTCCGCCGAAAGCTTTGCCGCAGCATCTTCGCGATCCGTGCTCCGGTCGCAGTAGTATAGCTTGGCGGAGGTGTGTACTTCGGCGGCGGATCCTCGAAAGGTATCTCCGTGGTCGCGGAGGGTAAGATTCCATTCCCATGCAAGCTGGTGCTGGTGTCGTTTCCAATTTGGGTCTGAGCGTCGCGAGGATCCTCCGGATCCATTGGCCGACAAAGCAATTGAATTCTCTGCAAAAATAAAACAGATTGTTTTATTCATTGAAGACGAATACGGTACACTTTAATTCAATGTGTTTTTATACATTTTACTTACAACTTTATATATAATTACTTGTACAACGACTTATTAAACTAATCCCGATAAACACAAAAAACCAGTAACATTACAATATAACATGACGTGTAATGTTAGTATAACAATACATGTTATAATTTTCTATTCAACACAATGAACTGTTATGTTATATTAAATTTATATTGTTGAGTGGGAAATTATAATGTTGATGTAATGTTATACTATACAGTTACTTTTTGTTTAGCGGGATATTATTAAAGAGCGTATTAATACATACACCGTTACATTGTTCACAATGATTTATTGTTACTTCCACCTGTTCGCTCTATTGTCAGCAAGAACAGAAAGATAGTGTGATAGATATGTTAGTCATTAATTAGCGTGTGTTAATACTGCTAATAGTATACAGACATTGTACACAGGAGGGAGTGCCTGGTAATAACCGTATCATACTCTGCAAGCAGGAATACTTACATCAAATATATCGGGTGGTCCGTTATTCAAGTATCGACACGCTTGTATGGCAGACACTACCGATATTATGAGTATCGGTGTCAGTTGAATCGCCGTCCCGAGTTGCCTTGCCCACACAACCCAGTAATCTTTGCTCGTGCGACGATAAGAATACAGTTCCCAGAAGTCACCGCTCTTGAATACTATGATACTCAGAGCCTATGGAATACAATAACGATGACACGCACCGTGCTTAACTGCGACCCAATAGCTTCGTTGTGTCTAACAAGAACTGACTCACCATCAAAGTAAGGGGGAGAACAACGGTCCACGTGAAGGAGAGGAGAGGGGCAACCCAGTACTTGAGATATCGTCCACTTGGTGGGAATAACTCGGCGACGACTGCCTCACCGGAATGTGGCCGCCCACGAATCGCAAACAGAGCGACGATTTGTATTAGATACAAAAATATTATCCACCATGCCCCGCCGACAGTGTAATCGAGATAGTACACGACATAAATACCCAACTGCAAACACATACAATAACATATGTATAATGAAGATAAAACTTAGAATAGTAGATTTTTTATTAAAATTATTATAAAAATGTACATATATAAAAAGAAAAGTATTTTTTTAGTTTTAATTGTAAGATGATAATTAGATAATTCCTATTGTTTTAGTAATAGTAAATAAAATAAATATATCTATTCTCATTAAAGTGATTACCATTTATTATTATCATCATCAATTTTGTCATTACTATCATTAAAAGTATTACGGTATTAAAAGTATTTATTAAGCTACACTAATGATATTGTCGAAGCACTTGTCTTTATATCTTTCACTTGTATATCCAAAAATATAACGTTATTTTTAGTATAACCGGAATATCTGCTCAGTGTAGTATGGGGAATAAACATGTACAGTCCAGATTCTTTATCGGGATTCGAGATATCTTTATCTCGGCCCACGGTCTTCACGATTTTCCTAACATCGTTTGCAGGATTATCTTGGTCTCGTAGGTTTACGACAGCTCTAAGAATGCAGGGCCAATCCAGTAAGGGATCCCACTTTCCATTCTCTACGCACAAACATCCAATAACGTGACGATCCTTCCACTGTCCTTTACCGTTCAGAAACAATTCCATTCTCAGAGTGTAACCATATTCCTTGTTGTAAAATATCGGACTATAGAGCGCGCGATCGCTTTCCTTTGCCTCGTTCATCTTTTCTTTGTAACGATCGATTCGCCATATAATATGACCATTCGTTGAGGCACTCTCCACACCTTCGCAGGAACATGAACTCAACGATGGTTCCGGTCTACAGCTCTCTGCTATTAGCTCTTCGATATATTTCAGATTCTCCTTCATTTGAAACTTTAGACCTTTTATCTCCAATTTCCGTTTGGCCACGCTCTCGGCGTGCTTACAGATTTCTTTCGACAAGCTATTCACCTTCTCTGATAAAGTATCATGTATGGATATTACTTCCTTTATATTCTTACATCTCATTGCCAATTCCAATTTCAAATCGTTGATACGTTGCGAATGTTCCTGCCATATATCGCTTGCGCGTACACTCTCCTTAGCGACGAACGTCTTCACGTCTTTCAATTCCTGGAACCAATCGTTTGGCGTGCACACGTGTTTGCCTTGCTCATCAGTCAATTCTCCCTCCAGTAATTTTAGCTGCTCAGAAATTTGTCGTAAATTCAAGGTAGTGCAATGCTGCATATCGTCGGTTATCATCTCCAGAGTATTCAACCTCCGATTCAGTGCTGTGTGGTTACTGCGAAATTCTTTGACTGCTTTTAGAGAGATAATCCTGCAAACGAATCCGCTCCTTTTCCCCTTGATCGATTGCTAAACGCAACAATGTTAATATCGAGAATACTTTTTCTTTCCACACCGAATCTTGGATGTCCTTTATTTGACTGTTTCTCATCGATGTTCCTTTGTTGCACATATTCTCGTGTACCTCCAGATTCCCGCGAGGAACGTAAACCCCGCATTTGTTGGGACATTCCTCCAAGATCGCCGCGCAATGTGTTATATGCTCCGTTAAATATTTCTCTTCCAAAAATTCATTGCAAAAATAGCAAGGTACGCTGCGACGTACTACCGAATGAACGTTATTACTCATGTTCCGTTTTAATACGGACTTGCGATGCTAATATGCCAGAGCGAACTAAAATGAAGTGCTGATAACAATTCTCTTGAAATGAAAGACTGTACGCTCTATCTGATAAGAACTGGGAACCTTATCCAAAGACAGAGATAATATTACAGGTATACCCAAGTTACATAGCTGAATCACGCACGTAACATGTTAGCACATTGCGTAAATGAAAATGCGGTATCTTCATGTGACTCATATATTAATAATGTAAATATTTGCGTGTGTCGAGTATAATTGCGTTTTCTGCTAAATAATAGTAAGGTAATAAATTCATCTAAGATTTGTTATCATCTCTAATTGAATTTAAGAAATTCCAACATACCTCCGTAGCCATAGGTAATCCGAGTATATAACCACAAGCGCAGCTGAAAAACGTGATCGTGGTCTCCCAGAGCTTCATCATTTTCGTATTGATCGCCATTATACCAGTTATTACACAATGCCAGATCGCCAACTAAAATATTGACAAAACTTTTAAATATATTTTCTTAATTATATATTCACCACTAAGGTGACGACTACATTTTTTAATCGTGTATTTATAGAATCCTATTTATAGCATCTCTTACATCGAGTACAAGGAAAAAAATGTACCTGTTGTGCGATTCCAAATAAGATGAGAATGAAATAAAACAGGACCGCCCAGAATGGCGACACCTGTTCAGTGCCTAACAATGCCAGTGTCGAAGGCACCAATTCAGTGGCTAACCGTAACACCTGGTATCCGGACTCGGCACTTGTGTCCACGCCAGGTCGTATTACGCGTTGTCCAAGAAGAAATGATGCGTGAGACATGAATCTCTCTGGCGTGGTGCTGTATCCTGGTGGTGCTGGTTCATTGGCAAGCCTCATAAACGTATACCCTGATATTCTCTCTGTGAAATCATCCGAGAATTATAACTTGTGCGAATGCATTCCGTGCAATGTTTCCGATTGCTCGGGGTAATACAAAACGGCTGTTTACCGAAAGAACTAGTAGTGTAGATGTAGCCGTGAAGCCTGAGGATTTGTACGCAGGTATTCGCGAGGAAAGCCACGAGAAGGAGAACCACAAACGTCAAGATTACCACGAGACTTGTATCGCGCTGTAGGAGATGCTTATGCTTGTTATGAGCCGCTATCTGAAATTGGCAGTAATCCAATGTATTCCAATGAGCAACTACCGATTGCATTAAGTGTTACGACCAATCAAAGAATAATCATAGGAGAAAGTAAGTTATGCTCGTTAAATAATCATCATAAGATTGTAAGCGACGATACCTGCATAGCGGCCGCACCGAATAATCCCCATGTGAGGAAGACCTCGTTCGAGGCAGCCACCCATGACTTCCCATTAATAAAGAATTCGCTCCAAACAGTGGAAGGGAAAAGTTGGTGAAACGAGCCCGGCGGAATGAGTCCAATTAGTTTCGCGCAAAGGACTAACGTGCCAAACACGGGCACTAGTGTAAAAACGTATACAACTTTTCCGTAAGATCTCAGTCCTAAATTAAAAGAGAAATGATCAAAATTAAATCTTTTGCGATGCATTGAACCAAGGTGATGATTTGAAGTCATGTGAAATACAAAAGTGACAAAATTTTCCCTCTCTATGCATTAAACAAAAATAAACGTTTTTCAACAATTATTTAATTAGATCTTTCAATATTTCTTTTTTATTATTTTATAAAAATCAATACGTTAAAAAAGAATGTCACAAAAAGTTAGCGAAAGAAACTAGTATAAAAATTTTTTGTAGAATTCATGTCTCTTTTTGTTTTAAAAAAGAAAATTCACCTTTACTCAGTGAAACAAATACAATCATCCACACAACAGCTAGATTGAAGGCCACTTGGAACTTCAACGTGACAACACCAGGATTAGAGTCAATCAAATGATGTCTTTGTAATACAGCACCGCTGAAGTAATCCGGAACAGTCTCGTGTAATTTGTACAAAGCGGTGGTGTTGTGTGTGAAACGGCTCTCCTCTCGATAGAGAAGAAACGGCTCCGCCCATCGATACTTGTCCTGCTTCGTTATGAATGAATCTCTGCAATCAATGTACCACGCATTTTGTCCTACTTGATCAACGTGGCGTGTCATTTTGATATTGCATCGACCGACCGAGGAGCCTAGAGACTCGAAAGAGTTATTGAAATAATCGCGTCGGGAGCGCAAATGTATATTAATTTCACATTGTTTCTAGGACGGTCTCTAGGGCTTGTGAGTTTCATTATTTCTTCTTGACCTACTAAACTTGGAATATACAAATTCAAATACAAACATGTTCGTTAAATTTCATTAAAACTTAAAATGACATTGATCAAACTCCAATTAACTTAATCAAAAGTAATATCTTCATTATTTTATTAACATAAACAGAATTACGTATTTAAAATTAGTATATATAAACACGAATAAATAGAGTAGATAAAGTAAATAGTGTAGAATAGTTTTTCCGAACGAATGCGAACTTGACGAATATGGCCATTCAAACTGTTCATAAATTTCATACAAATAACAAATTACGAATCTCAAACCGCACATAGTTTGGCGTTAACTTAACCCTTCGTCTACAATCATATTTTTTTCTTTCCATTTGCAATCTGAGTCTTTCTTATCCAGTCCAAGTTTTGATTTTTTTACTCTTTAAAATTTTTTAAGTGAATTGTCACTCTGAAGAGTGAAATCTCATTTTTAAAGACTGAAAATTGAGCCATTCTTTTTCAAGGCTGGCTCAATTTTTACATTTTAGAGTGAGATTCCACTCCAAAGAATTTAGAGAGTAGGCTTTCAAAATATGTGAAAAAAATTCAGAGTTACTTTTCGCAACATCATTTTGCTTGAATGAGCAAAAAACACCCAGATTACAAATGGAAGGTAAAGAGATATGTTTCAAGATATATTTTCACATCAAGAATTTACCTGAAGAACACAAACATCCATGATACACCGACTATACTGTAGATACCGATGAATGCCTGCGCGACGAGCAGGGCTATCCCGACACCTTGACAAATCGGAGATATACTCCACATGTCCACGGAACCAGCCGCCAATCTTTGTCCAAGACATACTTGTAGTGTTAACAGCGGGATGCCCAGTATGAGGGACAAGATCAGGAACTGTATCATGAAGTTTGCTGTAAAAAGAGAAGTAGATAAAGAATAAGTTAATTAATAAAATAAATTAAATTAATAGTATTTATGGTTCTAAAAATAAATCCAGTACAAAAAAAAGTAAAATTAAAGAAGCATCAGCAAATGGAAAGGTGAAGAATCCTTCACGCGAGAGACGAAGGAAAATGTTTTACGATTGAGAAACGTTGCTATACGTTGGACGTGAGTATCCGACCGTTTCTTCAATAAATCGGTCATTATTCTCGTAAATAACCGTGGAACTAATTATTGACATTACGAAAGGCATGCTGCGATATGAATTAATATCAACGGCACGGTGCGGCAATTTCATCGGTTCTTGCTCGCTCCAGAAGGTCTTATTTCGCGTTGGTGCCGCATACATCATGAGGATTCTACAATTTCGCAGAATGAGAGCCGTACACGGTCCAGTAATAAATTCGATTGCCAGTACTGGGTATAAATTTCGCCAGTCACGAGTAAATACGGAGATTGCATTTTCTGCGTGCTAAAAGCATCGAAATCCGACCACGTCGAAACGAGACCGGTCTCAGTTTCTCGCTGAAATCGTTCCGCGAAAAAATTATACGCGTCAAAAGTCTTCTCATCTCGCCCGTACGACCATCTTACGTCGCAAGAGAGGGAATCCGATGGAACTTTTAAACGAAGTCCTCCGTGAGGGCCATTGCACGAAATGTTGCCGTAGTGTCTTATGCTATTTTATGTCAGAGCCTTGCATTACTTCAACATACAACCATGCGTAAGTAACGTACAAAAAAGAACGTAGCATACTCTGTAAATTCTTTGGAGTGAAATCTCACTCTAAAGAGTAAAAATTGAGCCAAGTCTTGAAAAAGAGTGATTTAATTTTGAATTTTTAACAGTAAGATGTCACTCCTCAGAGTGACAATTCACTCTAAAAGTTTTAAAAAGTAAAAGCTTTCCATTTCTTACGTTATGTTTTTCTTTATGTGTTACTTACGTAACTTACGTTATGTCTTACGGATAGCTATGTGTTAAAGTAATGTAAGACTCTAACATGAGATGGCATAAGGCAATGTTCATGCGGTGGCCCTGATGATTTGCAGCATTTTTGTGGCTGACGCACGTGTTATGGCGCTCACCTCCAAACTGTATGCTAAGAATAGCGAATCTGCTGATGTTAAAGAGTCCCAGAGTGCAGCCGAGACACGCGAGGGTCGAACTGAGGGCGTGAGGCCATTTTCCCAGAGAATTCTCGTCCTCATCGTCATCCTCGCTCCTGTTGTTATGCCTGTTGGCATCTCTCTGTCTCTCGCATATTCTGGAACTGATATCACAAAAAATGTATGATTATTAAAAGTAATTAATTAATTAATTAAAAGTAATTCTCTATATCGATATCTATCTCTGATAAACTAAAGACTGTCAACTTTACAAAATTGTCTTAATTTATTTTAAAACAGCATGTAATTTAATTACATATTTAAAAGACGAAAATGTGCGAAAGCGTAACTAAATCTTTAATTGACGCAGCAAATCTTATTTATACACTTCGTAAAATTAGCAGATTATAGAGATTGCAAAATATTTTATCGTATGACGTATATACGTCTCCATTTCCGATCGTAGTCTACGAGCTGATGCTGAAGATTTCTGAGATCATGTTAGTCCACGGTGAAAACTAGGTCGAGTGCAATTTTATCGCGTGCTGCTATCTTAATACGGAAAGAGTCTTATCGCGTCTTACTATAAACTTGTCCAGCTGATCTTTTACAGAGATACCCAGACGGATATACTCAGCGGAGCATACATACATCCTGGGCTAAGTTCAGGATTCCCATTCAAGTATCATGAAGATATCATTTTGTTCTTATTATTCACCGAATGTTAAACAAAGATATAAAATACTATACCTAGACAGTAGGCACTCAGGTGAGAATCTGAACACACTTCTACGCAGAAGATCGCGCTAAAATTAGCAAGAGTGAAAAATCTTTGTATTCCCGGCCTAATCACTGTAACAAGCAATCGCACGAATGGTAGGGGTCCTCGTAAATCCAATAAGGCGATCATCGATGATACACGAAGGAAATCAACAGTGAATTACGAGCGGCGGACTCTATCGTGTACTTAACGTGATTATCCCAACGGGGATTTAAATCACGCACGACGGCGGACACACCCGGTAGATCGCGCGCTAATACCGATAACAGATGGACCGTCAGATTGGTACCGTTATCATGAGATGGAGAGGCAAAATAGAGAGACGAAGCACATCATGATCGTTAAGCGTCAAAGCGAAGATTCCTCCGCTCGAGGAGTTTCCGCCAAGTTTCGTCGGTGCGTCATCGAGCCACTCTTCCTCTTCAAGGGTTGTGTGTTTATGCGTGAATTATAATAATTTTCCTCTACGTGTATTCAATGTAAACTACGTAAACTATATGTTTTACGTATCATCTATGTAAACAATCTATAGATCATCGAAGCCTATGTTCTTTCTCGTTGCACTGGATTGCACTAAAGCTTCTATCTTGCTTATATTTTTATTTATCAATATTAAATTCAGATATATTAACAATCATAAAACTTAATAACTTTTTTCTGTACTGTGTTAGCCAATTTATAATTATACATTTTACATTGTTTGCATATTGTCTACATGAAAAAAATTTGTGCAAACTTAACGTAAACAATACGTAACGTTCCATATAAACGTAATTTTGAAATACAACACAATATATGCTCACATGTATTATTAAATATGAAGTAATAGTTGTAGACTTATCTTTTCGTACCTATATACATATACTCGGAAAAAACGATTTTGCTGAAGTATAAAAATTTAGCTGGATACAGATCTGGAAATAATGTTGCTCCATCAAAATAATTACGTAGAAATGTCAAGCATAATGAATGATACTGTAAAAAGTTTTGATATTCTAACAATCAGTTTGAGTGTCCTAAATAATTATTTTGATGGTCCATCAAAATTATTTTTAGATTTGCATCTAAATTTTTAGATAATTCAGTAAAACCGTACTTTCTGTGTATGTTGCGTTTCTCTGTTCCTTTGCAATATTATTATACAAAAGAAAATGTTTATAGAATCATATCCGAATGAAAAGGCAATGTTGCGAAATGTTACATGTATAATCCCTATATTTAATATAATTCTATTATTTTTATTTAAATTATAATTTTTGCAGGATTATAATATATAAAACCTTTCATCCAAATATCGGATTGATGCAAAACGTCAAGATTTGAAGAGTAAAGACTTTTTAATAATATACATATATATGTATAGCATTTATAATCTCAAGATATCTTGAATTAATATGTACATTGTGTTCTTGACATTTTAAACTACTTCTTGTTTCTTGGTAAGTCCTAGTTTTTACTTCAAAAAGATTGAACAAATAGCCCTTAGAATAGCCTCAAATTCTGTGGATTGCTTCTCTGGTATGAAATTTGTTGAACATTGTTGATGATCTGTGTGCTTATTAACGCTATTCTCCTCGAACTCCAACGCATACGTAAGTAGGGCAGCAGAATTATGCTCAAGTTTAAATTAATATAACATAACTGTCCAAACATCTAGATATTTTCCATATTCTATTGACTTTAAAATGAACTTATTAATAAAATAATAAACGATCACTAGTTCACATACCTACATCGATTTTAACTCAGAAGAAATGAGGACAGTCTCTTCTAGTAAATAATAAAATCCGACATTTTGACCATCTTAATAGCTATATCGTTAAGAATAATCTTTTTTCATCTTTGCGTAGATACACTGAAAAAAAGTTTGCTAATATTTGCTACTGTAATTGCATGATAAAATAATTATGGTTAAGAACATTTTTATAGTTATTATTGCTATAATATTGTTTACTAACATTATAACAGTAATAACTACAAAAATAAAGTCCTAACCACAATTTTTTATCATAAAATTATATTCGCAAATATCAAGTTTTTTTCTCGCAAGTGTAGATCTTAATGACGTCTATCTTAATGACGATGTTAATTGATATCGAACATCATCTTTTAAAGCAAAGCAAATAAAAGAAGGTCATACACGAGCAAATAATTAGATCATCATCTTGTAAATTATTTGATGATACACGGATTGACGTCACAGCAATTTGTGCCGCAGATTATCACAAAGCATGAATAAATTTTGGAATTTTTCATTATTGATCGCCCACGTATCGGTGCTCGAAAAATGAGAGTGGAAATCACGTGTCGCTAACTGCATGGCACGGGTATCGCGAATATCAATTATATGCCAATTATAGCAAGCCTGAACAATAAAAAAACAAACCGTTTACATTAATAGCTGTATAACAGTTTACATAACATAGATAATAGAATATGTTCTTATCGATTACACCGCGAGCTGTACTATTACTCACAATCAATATATATACGACATTGTTTCTTTTTATCTTAAAGATTCAATACAACTTGCATATTCCATGTTGAACAGTTAATGAATAATGCATCTTCGAATTATTAAATTATTTATGTTTTTACCGATTACTGATTATCATATATATAAACAGAAGCCGCTGAATGGAATTTTAACATTTAACTTAAAATCTACAATTCTATTAAACTACGAAAAATTAATGTTTTAACACGGACGTTGTCTTTACGGACAGTTAACTCTTGACCAATCTTTACGTGCATTGTTTGTAGTATTCCAGGAAAGCTCTATAAAGATTGTCGGCACGGAAGAGTGTTATCGGCTCGGCATCGTCGAAGCAATGCTACAAAGTAGTACCGAGAAACAAGCAGTCTTTTTTTTTTTAATTGACGTCACTGACATTTCGGGGCGCACGAAACGCGAGGTCCGAAGGTCGTTAAAAACGGAGGAAGTGACAAAGGGTGAACGGGTTTAGTGGGAGAGATCGATAAGGTAACCGCCGTGGTCACTGCTAATGACCGCGAACCCTGAAGCCCCTTAACCGATGCCGCTCGTGATTAGGCGCACGCGAGCCGCCACATATTCTTGACACGATAACCACTCTGGTCTCCTTTCCTTTTTCTCTTCCGCTCACTCGCTCGCTTAGACTCGGTGCTCGACTGTGTGCCCGATTTTGCGTGGGTCAGTCCGATCGATCGAGGCTGACCACTTCGATGAAAATATCCCGCGAAACAGTTAAACCGGTGTCTCGACCCGATTACTCGATTAAAACGACAATAAAAACAAAGTGAAGTATACCAATCAAATAACGACAACACGGAAAGAACGATTTTGCTGAAATATCTAAAAATTGAGTTAGACACAGATCTGAAAATAATTTTGAACCATCTATCTCTAAAATCTATGGAATAGAATCTAATTCTAAAGAGCAAAATCTCAATCTTAAAAATTCATAATTGAGCCACTCTTTTTAGATACTGGCTCAATTATTATTCTTTGTCACTCTTTAGAATTAGATTCCACTCTAAAGATTTTAGAAAGATCGAAATAATTATGTTGGAAATTCAAGTATAATGAACAATACTATAAAAAATTTTAATACTCTAGCTTGAGCTAGAATTATTTTTATAGTTTAACGAAATTATTTTCAGATTTGTATCTAGCTAAATTTGTAGATACTTCAGCGAAACTGTTCTTTCCGTGTATTTTTCCTAAGTATATGGAATCAATGCGGTCTATACGTTATACATCATCAATTATTAATTTTCGCGAATATCTCTTTCCGCGATAACTAATAAAATCTAACAAAGAATTTTTGCGATTTCACCATTACGAGAATTTTGCAAATCTATGTTATGGATCTAAGTTTTATTAGTTCTCGTGGAAAGAGATATTATCTCTTTTATAATATAATTCGATCGGATATTTTTAGGCACTTTATATATTTTTAATTTTTATTTGCTTGTTCTTACGCCAGTCTAGAAAGTGATGAGTTTCGCTCGACAGGACTAACTTAAAGGTTTCGCCTCATACAAACACTTACTTATTTAGAAGACAAGGCATTTCTGTTGATTTATCGACTCGTACACGGAAAAATAGCTATATTGATCGCTCGCTTAATCTTTGATAAAATCCATAAAATTTATCAAGGCAAGCGCGTCGTATTAGGAATCTAATTGTGAGTAATTTCAGTGACATTGCCTAGCAAGGCTGAAATACATACGCAGAGAACGAATTAATCCTTGATCAATCAGAAACGCTGCTTACAAAATCTTAATATCCGTTTAATTATAGGTCTGTTTTTTATAACTGAACTAATATGTATACTTTTTGCATTTAAAGTGAAATAGATTTATGTTTGATATTTGGCAAGAGTGAAAAGAAAAGTTCTA